GCAACTGAACAACTGCAAAAGCAGAAAAATTATCAGGATGATGTTTCTGCATTGTGATACCCTGGAATAAGTCCTGCTACTCCTTTTTCTTCTGTCACAGTTATAGGGAGAGTACCAGCTGCGGGCATAACAACCCGTCACATAAAACATGGGGAAGGATAACAATCTTCACGCCAGAAACAACTGACTACAAAACTAGTTCTTTGGTGTCTAAAGGAATATGAAATGGGCCAAGGGCAACATTCCTGAGCTGAATGTCAAGAAGGACACTTCAGAGAAATAGAGAACTGATCATACAACATGCCTGTCAAGATCAAGAAATGGTGTGTAGGACCCACTGCATAGTGAGAACCAAAATGCTACATCATGTTTTAAACGTCCACATGTAGGCTGGACTATCACACTGCACCTGACATCCCCATATTCTATTAATGTTTGTTTTTATGCCATGGGAAATAGTAATCCCATATAGTAATTATAGCAACCCACACAATGACCCTGGCTTTTGGAGATGATGTGAGTCCCAACAGTGTCTAAGCTGTTGCAATGCCATTTGGATCAGTCTGCAGGAGGACTGTGCTTCCACATGCAGACCTCAACCCATGAGGTTTTAATACTATTTTCTCCCCTGAGCTGAGGAGGGAGAGGGGGAGAGTGAGAGAGTGTGATGGTGGAGTGGTGTGGTAGGCACCTGGCAGCCACCCCACCACATAAAGCCATTTTGAAATGGGTGGTTTCCTGATCCTTTTTTTCTGACCACTCTGTGAACGTTCAGAAGTTGGGCTGTGGCAAACTACTGAAGTTGGTTACTACCTGTATGAAAACGCAGTAGGCATGACCCTGTTTCTCTGTGCCCCAGCAGACTGTGCTGTTAACACATAAAACAAGACAAGTATAGAAATGTTTGTTTATGGATACACAGATAACAGAAGCAAGAGGCAAGCAGTGAGGCTGGTGAGGCTGAGCCCCTTCTATCTTGCTCTCCTTGCGGTCCTTCTATCACCTACAGCACCAGAGAGCTGTGCAAGAGAATCCTGTAAAGGCAGGGAGGTCTTCATTGCTAAACTCCAGCTTCCCCTTGGTCCAGAAACCAGCTGTGCTCAACCCCTACTGAGCGAGGGCATGGCATATTGCCCTCTGCTCTGATGCTTTGGGTTCTGATCCTGTCTAATTTATCCCATCTTATATAGTACTACCACAGATGGCCCTGCTTCCCTCTAAATGGATTCTTTCACAGTTCATGAAAATACCTGCCTGGATGCAGGAAACACCATTGCAAAAACCCTGTCATGCAGAAAAACCTCCCCAAGCACCCAGTCCTCCTCACCTAATCACAGCCATTGACTGCTTCCTCTGGTCTATAAATATAATCTCTGCTGAATTAAACTCCACCTACCTTAAGTGTTGCTACATACTAAAAAAGTTATGTGCCATGCTGTTATCTACCACAGCTTGGTAACAGTAAAACTGTGCCATGTCTGTTTATTGTTGGCAAAGGTTCCACAAAGTCCCATTATTTCTCCTTGAATGAACACATAAACACTGGACAGGGTGGAGAATGAAAGTCCTTCCATGGTTAACACATTTCCCCACAGCCCATCTGCTACCCTCAGAGCAGTAACAAAGCACTACCGCATAAGGAGTAGTGTGAGGAGACTTGTGAGGCCGTAAACACTTCTTTATTAGAGGAAAACAGATGGTAATCCAGGAATTTCACTAGTTCTGTTTATTTTTAAACAGAGTGATTCATATTGCCTTGCAAGCATATCAACTGATTTAGAGAAAATTATTTAAACAACAGTAACAATTATCCTCTTCCCTCACTTCTGAGGATTTTTACTCTCTTTGTAGAGGACATCAAAACCATCCTTGGAGTTGCTCAGGGTATATAAGTGAGAACACTGTAAAATACAAAAAAAAAAAAAAATAAACCATTATTACAATGAAAATTATAATCACTGAAGTAATTACTCTTTAAAGAGTCCTTATTTCAATTTTGGGTTAAGGGTGATTGGACTAGAATATTACATGCAGACTCTTTCTTAAGTTTTTGGTAGCTTCTCCACTACCCAACAAAGGCAGCAGAATCCTAAGACACTGGTTTGAACTGATGCCACAGAAACTGAAATGGATATGAAAGATGATCTCTGATTTGGACACCTTCCAGATGAAAGCACCTGGCCCAACTGAAGTCAGAGACTGGTTGCTTAATAGATTGCTTTAAAAAGCAAATTCATCTTTTTCTCTTTCGACCAGGAAAACATTCAAAGATTCCTTTGTCTGGGAATGAAATCCAGATTCAGACAGTTTCACAAACTGGTAGTGAAGAATATTGGGCCTTCTAGCAACATTCTCCAGCACTCTCCACATGCAGGCTAGGCTCTGTGTTTCAATGGCCTACTGTACATGGCAGCCCTAAACTGCAGGATACAGCTCCGCATGGAGTCTGTCTGGCAGCCCTGAACAGTGGGTTGTCTGAATTCCTCATTACTCTTATGCCACCAGATTTGAGGCAGCAAGTTAAGCATTGTGAACAGAGCTCTTGGGCATGGAAGTAGCAGATGAAAATGTTATCCTCTGTGCTCAACACTTGAACAGTTCTTGTATCATTTTTTAGTGTACAATGCAATGAGAGGCAAACCTTCAAACAAGCCCTTTGAAGTTCTCCAGAGTTCTTTCCAAGCATTGTCTAGCATTGTCTTGCTAGACACCATAGGATGTTCTTTTGCTTTCTGAAAATATCCTCCTCTTATTGTTATAAACCATTTTTTCCTCTCTGCTTAAGAAACCACTTTTGTATCCTTTATGCCAAGATCTTTGCTAAAATATAATTATTTATATTGCACCTTGAGTAAGGCAGAGTGCTAGGGAGAACTTAGCCAGGCAGCAAAAAGCTCCAGTTTATGAAAGGGGATGCTCTTTCCCCTCAGTAGTCTGTTTCTAAGGTAAAAAATGTTTTATGAAGCAAAATACCTCTGATAGCAAGTTTATATGGTTTTGTTCCTGAATGCTCCTTGACTGCTTTCCTCTTTAACAAGGGCTGTATACCACACATCAAACTTCTGATTTATTTTTACAGCATTACAAATGCAAAACATTTCACACAAAAGATCGCTTGTAGCATCAGTTTTAATACAGCACAATTACCTTTACTGTACTAAGAATTAATTAGAAGTTGCAGGTATATAAATGTCCTCTTCTGCATATTTAGATACTTATTGTCACAATCACTCAAATACAGAGTCCTAGATACCAGAGACAGAGAGACTTTGGTACTTACTGATTTTTGCATATGAAGAAATTTTTTTGTTAGGCAGACAGTAAGTATTAAATACTGTAGAAACAGCTCATATATGTCAGGCCTCACAGAACCTACCTGGTTTCTTTCTGAGGATGTTCCCTCTCCCTCACATAGGAGGCCTTGTCTGTACTTCAAAAATGCCCCAATTGTATCAGTGTGGTACAAGCACTCAGAGAGGTTTTATATCCATGCAAATACTGAGACACAGGAAGGCCAAGTGTTAAGGCTTTTATGTATTCACAATAATATGTCTATGCAGGGAGGATTAGCAGTTCACCCATAAAGCTATACAATTAGCACGTTTTAAAGTGTATACTGACAATACATACTTATCCCACAAAACAGAAATTGAGCCATTTATCAGTGTGACTGGGACTAGAGCATCTCTCCTACAAAGACAGGCTGAGAGAGTTGGGGCTGTTCAGCCTGGAGGAGACCTCACAGAGGGACTCCTCATCCTGAACTTTAGTGATAAGAAAGGGCGAATGGTTTCAGACTGAAAAACAATAGGTTTAGGTTTTAGGCAGAAATCCTTTACAGTGAGGGTGGTGGCACACTGGAACAGGTTGCCCGGAGAAGTTGGGGTTCCCCATGCCTGTCAGTGTTGAAGGCCAGGCTGGATGGAGCTCTGAGCGACCTGGTCGTGGCAGGGGACTTGGAATTAAATGATCTTTAAGGTCACTTCCAACCCAAATTGTTCAATGATTCTATGATCTGACAGAGGGGTGGTGGGAATGTGTGAATATGTCTGGGGATTCTGACCAAACTTTTCAACCTCAAGAGCCCGCATACTGGCTGATCTTCCCGCAAAGCCGCACTGGATTCAGCAAGCCAGGAAAACGCCCCCACTCCCAGCGAGACGCTCGACGGAGAGCGGCGATACAGGAGCAGTACAGGAGAAGTACAGCGGAGGCGGTACAGGGGAGGCGGTACAGGGGCGGTACAGGGGCGGTACAGGGGCGGTACAGGAGCAGTACAAGGGAGGCGGTACAGGAGTAGCCCCAAGCCGACGCGACAGAGCCGCGGCCCCGCCCGCCGCTCCCGCCCCGCCGGCTGTGACGGCGCCGGGCGCCGGGAAGTGCTTCCGCCGCGGGTCCGGGGCCCATGAATGAGGCGAGTCCTGTGAGTGCGGCGGGGCCCAGTAAATGAGGCGAGTCCTGTGAGTGCGGCGGGTCCCTTGAGTGCGGCAGGACCCGTGAGTGCGGCGGGGACCGCGGGACCGGCCCGTCCGGAGCGGCTGCAGCGCGGAGCGGGGCCGGGCCCAGGCGGGAGCGCGGGGTCAGGGGAGGCTGCGGGGCCAGGGCACCGCTTCGCCCCGGGAGAGAGTGGGTCAGCCGAGGGAGGAGTGGTCGGGCAGGTACCGGTCCCGGAGCGCAGGGCTGCAGTTCTGTCTGCTGGAGCTGGGCAAACACCTCTCTCGTGTTCCCCCTGGGACGGATCGGGGCAGGGCGCGCCCAGTGACCGCTCCGAGGGGAGGGAGGTGCGTGAGGGGCCCCCTCAGTTCCACCGCCCGGCAGAGCTGCGGCGGGTCAGGGGGCGGTGTCCGGACCGAGGGGACTGCGCTGAGCCGGCCTCGTGTTGGACAGAGCCAACACGGGGAAACGGGCTGGGATAGCCACCCTGCAGAAGTTTACTACGATAGAGTCAAACAAGTATTTGATCGTTCCATCATCACTGCTTTGTGCAGCTTGCCCTAGTGTGACTGACTGGTCAAGGCCGGGAGATGTCGACCCCCCCTCTGGCCGGGGCGGGGATGCCGCCGGGCGCTTTCTCCGGGACGCAGGCTCAGGCTGCCAGGGAGGTGAACACGGCTTCCCTCTGCCGCATCGGCCAGGAGACCGTGCAGGACATTGTCTTTCGAACCATGGAAATCTTCCAGTTACTGAGGAACATGCAGGTGAGAAACAGCTGTTTATTTCTATACACTCAACTTGTTTTTATCACTGACTGCCAGTATATATAGATTCAGGAAATGCCTTAGGACGTTTAGAAAACTAGAGCAAATTGCTCTGAAAAGGACGATGGGTTGAAGAAGTGAGTGCTACACTTAATATATTTGCTTAGTCCTGTAAATTAACTAAAATTCAGAAGTGCTGAATTGTCATTGCCCTCACAACAAAAAAGCTCTAAATATGCTTGGTAACTGTTTTCTTTTATATATTATCAAGATTGTTCATAGGTTGGTTATGTTTCTCTGTTTATGTTAACATATGGGGAGTAAATTTAGAGGAAATTTCATTGATCTTTTTTCTGTAATATTTTCCACCTAAAACTTTTTTCTTTGTTAGGAAAAATGACATAATCCTTATTTTTGTCTACTTACTGAGAAAACATAAAGACTTCTGTTGTGTTTGCTCTGTGGAGAGTAGAGGATAAATAATTGCTCCCACTCCTTCTGTATTTTCATGACTCTTGAGCCACTGAATTGATTTCGCTGGGATTGAGACACAAAATCTCAACCCAGTCACAACGGCGTCATATTTAAGCATTGTGAAGGCACTCACTGAAAAGTCAGAGAGATTGACAATGACCAAATTGGAGAATACATGAGAGTGTTTGACAGCAGTGATTGAGCACATAAAATATGCAGTTTTGCTAGTAAAGAAAATAAAAATTTCAGTGATTGCTATGGGAAGAGTGTGATTGTCTTATTTTAAAATATACAAAAACCTGTTTGATACCTTTATTTATTTCATGTGACAGAAACTTTACTGTAATATTTTTAATGTTTTGGTTCTCTAAGTTACCAAACGGTGTTACTTATCATACTGCAACATATCAAGACAGACTGGCAAAGCTGCAGGAACATCTCCGTCAGCTATCAATACTCTTCAGAAAACTGAGATTAGTCTATGACAAATGTAATGAAAACTGTGCTGGACTCGATCCTGTTCCCATAGAAGTAAGTACCGTAATTTATGTATAAATTGCAAATCAGAATAACCATTCTGGATAGCAAATCATCCATCTTCCTCAGAGACTGATAGCAAGTTTTAATGATACTGGAATTACTCAGTGGACTGAATTCTGTTTATTAATTAGAGCTTGTTGAAAGATTGTGAAACTTAGTGTCTAATTGACACCCTGTTCTGTCATAAAGTTGGTCTCGATCTCAGAGGTCTTTTCCAGTCTAATCGGTTCTGTGAAAGCAAACTTAATTTAAAATTTTAAGTTTTTTTCATGTGGCTTCTTGGTACCTTCACCAATTTGTTTGCCCTAGGGAAAAAAGATGATCAAATTTTTTACAAGAAATGGGAAAAGTCTCCTTCAAGATCTCACCTGTCAGCCTGGCTCCTGAGTAATAAGTATTATTTACTTTCTCTGGCCAATAGTCTGTGCCTCCATAGTTCCTCACTCAGCTATTCCTAACCTGCTGGCCAGTGTGAACCAAACTTAAGTCTTCAGTGGTGATAGAAAAGTTGCAACATAAAACTTCCAGGGAGGAGAATTGGCCAAAGTTTTTCTTAATAATACTCCTGTTAGTTATAAAATCTTAAATGTCATCTTCCTCATAAATTGTTTCTAATTTAAACTACTTTTAAATCTTGTATTTTGTTACAATTTGAGTTGCTCCTGCTCTATATTAACCAGAACTTTGAAATTCTATAATTGCTGACCTCTGGATTCTAAGGCAACTTTATTAACAGATTTCTGATTGTCCATTGAATTTTAATCGTATGAGCATTATATTTGAAGTGTGAGTCTCTTATCTGAATAGGAGTAAAGAAAGGAAGAAGTCCATTCTGTACAGTCCATTCTAGACTACTATTTGAGTTAACAGTTACTGACTTTTGAGAAGGATTTCAGAGAAATGTATCTGGAAACCTGCCAGCGAGCAAGGGAATAAGTTAATTTTCCCATTTAAGAAAATAAACCTGTTTTCACAGTGTTTTGACTTGTGCACAATAACCATATACTTGTGTCCTCTTTAAAAGCTTTTCATGTGTCTTTTTTTCCCGTATCAATGGAATAACTTGGGTTGAGTTGCTTTTTTTCTATAACTTTCCATATTTTTTTCCTGTTATCAGGATGGAAAATAATCTCCATAGAGGAAATAAGCAGTCACTTCAGGCTTTTTTAACGCAAAGTTTCACTGATAACTTAGCAGAGTTTTTTATTGATAGATGGGGTATTTTTTAAAATCTTCTTAGTCTTTCCTTCTCTGAACTTAGTAGATGCCTGCCTCCCCATGTTTTTATTGGTTAGAGTGAATGACAGTGGCACATCATTCCTGTTGGATCAGTTTTCTTAAATTCTACTTCCAGTAGTTCAATAATAGTCTCAATTGTATTATTTAATGGCCAGTATTTTTACCATGTCTTTACAGAATATCAACAAAACTCTTTTTTTGCACAGTCAAGAGAAGTCCATACCTACTAGTATTATTTATTCCATTATTATTAATATAAATGATTTCATACTTTTTGTTAATGTGTACTAATGTGTAATAGGTATTATTAGCTTTCTGTTAACCAGCATAGCAAGGCATGAGATAATTGTGAAGATCTGCTTACAAAGATTAAATTTCCTGCTTCTTTTGTGTATTAGGTATAGTTCAGCTTTTCTTTGTAGGTTTGTTTGTTGGGTTTTCTTTTTCATTATCACCTTTTCTGAAAGATAGGGAGGCTTTTGAAGAAAATATTCTACTTTGAGTGCTACTTTATTTTTCCATCAGAGAGTTTTTTCCAAGAACATACAGCAGCCCCACTACTTCTTCTTTATGGTCTGCAAATGTAGTAAGTGGTCAACATTTGCTACTTTGTTCACGGCAGAGTTTAGTGTGGTAGCTTTTGTCCATTTTGCTAAGCTGAACAAAAATGGCTGCAAAAATTTTTATATAGGAGGAAATTATATTTTGAGTGGTTAAATCAAAGTAAGTTTTCCATCAGAGGAGTGCTGAAGGCACTGAATGCTTTTTGAAATATTACACCCAGAAGTTAATATGCACTTGATGAGCAACTTGCTCCTAGGCTTTAAAATTAATATCTTCTTGCTCACTTGTATCAGTATTCGTCTTCCATATGTCTGTAGTGTGTATGTGAACACAGATATATTTGTGCATAGTTCAGAGCAGAAGAAACAATGTCAGACTATGGACTTTGTGGATGTATTACCTTTTAAGAAATTTTTAGTCACTTGCGAGTATTCTGACACAGAAGCAAGTATTTGTTTTGTATCTAGTATGTTTCTTTTTCATTTATTTTTTTAGGAAGGAAACATAGTAGTATTCACTTAGAAATTCTGCATCAAGGAATTTGTTGAAGCTTACAAAAAAGACAGTGCACTATGGTCTTCTCCATTTTAAACCAAACTATGATTCTGTGTGTCTGAGGAGATCACAGTGAGAAATACTTACAAAATAACTAATTTTAGGTAACTGTGGGCCTAGTCTTAAGAGTAGCCAACCAGAGGCTCACTAAAATAGCAAGTCATAACTAGAGTATTAAGCAAGTAGCTATGTAAAGCCAGTCATATTTATGTTCAGTATATCACTAAACTGCTTTTTGGTAATGATAACTTCATGTTTGTGGCTTTATTTTTTAGTGTGAAATAGCAAATTTTAAAATCCCAGTCTGCAGAATTCAAAACTACAAGGATTATCTATAATAAACATCTTAAAATGGAAAGACTGGCTTCTGCCTGCAGTTATGAAATTTCTTTGGTCTAGGCTTAGTAATGTGTGGGATTGTGTCTTTTTGCAGCACATTGTTTCCTGGAGAACCAGCTGAGGTCATTGCAAGGCCTTTAGGTTTGAGGTGGCAAGGAGGCTTCTCTCCACTTTCTCTTGGGCAGTTAGAGCCTGTGAAGAAATGGTAGTACCGTATGCATTTCCTGGATTTGTTTTTTTTTTTTTAATTTTCTTTTTTTTCCTATCTTTTTTCTTTCTCTAACGCTGATGTTTCTTGTCTTCACAGCAACTTATTCCCTATGTTGAAGAAGATGGCTCCAAGCATGATGATCGTGGTGCTGCAAGTCAGCTTCGTTTTGCCAGTGAAGAGAGAAGGGAAATCATGGAAGTAAATAAGGTAACAAAGTTGAAATTAATTTGCATAAACTAAGAAATGTTTTTTTCACATTACAAAGCCTAAATTTCTAGATTGCTTTACTAAATACAGAATGTGCGATGACTACCATCAAAACTGGAGAGAAATACTTTTTATCTATAAATATTTCAGTATTGACCTTTTAGTTAAAATACTTATTTTTCAGCTGTGCCTCTGGCACTAGAGTTTAGCCTTCCTAACAATTTTAACTTGTGTCTCTTTTAAAACAAACGTATATTCTTATGAATACAGTGTGTATATTGATATTGACAGTACAAACTGGACTAAAGTGCCCGTTGAACTTACTTATCTTTAGAACTTACCTTAGATGTTAAAATAATTGATACTGAACACCAGATGTGTAAATATTCTTATAATTATGTGACTTGGTAAAGAATTTTGAGGACTACCTTCTGTGTTTTGACAGTTTGAGAAAGACTGTTTCTTTTGTAAAGAGGAACATTTTGAATCTTGCCACATTCAGAAAAAAATGTACTATGAATTATAAATGTTATAGGAGTAAAATGTTAAATTTTCAGTTTGAATGGCATTGTGCAACTGGGTACAAATTACTGAAGAGGAATTAAAATCTAAAAATAATTATGCTGTAATAGAAGCTAATGTAATATGGAGATTAAAAATACACAGTTTTACCAGACCACAGTTTTGAACGTTGTTTCTTCAATCTGTAAAGTACAAAGATAGGATTAAATAAATATTTCTACAGCTGTAATATCTGCAAATGCTCAGTAAAAAGGAGTTATACTCTACAAAAATAACCTAACAAAAGAAATAAATTAATAAAATGTTTATTTACTGAATGAATAATTGATGGGTTTTTGGCTTTTTAAATATTTCCAATGTTTTAATTTGTCTTTCACAATCATACATGTATTGAATTTTTCATAACCCATTTATTTAGAAAAATGCATGTGTATTGTACAGGAGAAAATGAAGACTACGTGACTTTAGAGAAATGCAGTTGTCAGCTCTCCTGTTGTAATCTTTCTCTTCAGTGCTGATGTAGCAGGGTTGTATATATTATATTGTATGTAATGTTGTACTGTGAATTTATGCACATTTATTTGCAAGCTTTAGGTGTTAATAAGCTTAACTGTCCATACTTGCTGTGGTTTTAATAGCTCTATGACATGGTTTTGCCCTTGTTGTTGTACCTATATGCTAATATGATTTTAAACCTCCTTGGTGTGATCTTGTGAAAATAATTTCATAAATTTTTATGAAGAGTTCTGAACCTTAAACAGGTTGATGGTGTTATAGGACCATTGGTAGCAAACTGGTAATTAAGAATGCATTGAAATTTTTACATAAATATAGGCTGAAATCCTGTATTTATACTTAAATGCCTTGACTTTATTTCCGGATTTTCCACACTAAATCTTCAAAAGATAGTTGAACTTTCTCTAGTATTCTTGTGGACAAATACTTAATAACTGCAGCAAAAGCAAGTTAAACTTCTTTTTTTAAAGTTCACTGATTTTTTCTTTTGTTTCCCTCCAGTTGTATAAGCATATCTACTACCATTTTCAAAGTTCAAATTTTCATACATTACAGACTAGGAAATGCTTTTATGACTAGAAATATATCTTTTTTTTTTTCCAAAGAAAAATCACTAAAATCAGATAATTGGTCTAATTTCTCACACTGGCTGCTGGCTTCAAGGAGGGCTTGCTCTGGTTCCTTGCTGGCACACGTAACAGCTCTTCAGTCCTCCCTAGTGTGTAATGTCTACCTCCAACTCAATTTGATGAATTAATTATAGGAAAATTTCAGTAATACAAAATGTTGATGAAAATACTGTGACAGGGAAACCAACATGATAGTTAAAGAGGCTTTTTATATTCTTGACCAAATCTTTTCTTCCTTCAGCTAGTTGTCCTGTTCTCACCTTACCCATTTTGCTGTGATAGGCATTATTTTTTTCAGTCTTGCATATTATTGGTAACAAAAAGTCTCTATTGCACTATTGCAACCCAAGACTTTGACACTAGTGTGATCTTTGAATTAGTTCTTAGACCTGCCATGGATCTCTTAATTTTGTTCTTCTTGCCATGATATCCCAGCCAGTCTGATTTCTGTAGTACTAGCTCTGGATGTATGTCAAAGACACTAACTGCCCCACAGTGTGAAGCATTGCCAAAACTAGTAGTAGCTCTTATAAACCTTGTGGATTATATATTCCCACACAAAAATGTCCTTATTCCATGAACCACTGACTTGAAAAACAGCAGCTTTGCTTTGCTACTGCAGATGTCTGGGAAGGGAACATCCTCACTGGAGGAGGAGGGGAGCATCTGGTGCTTCCTGTCATTACCATCTCATTCATGGGACAGGAGAACCTGTTGATGTATCAGAGTTCCTAAAAACTGCAGGAGCTTTTTGTGTTGGTTTACTGTGACACCTTTTGGTCTTATTTAGTTATTCTGCTATATTAGAGTTAGCTTTTAGGTTGGAAAGTTTAATGTGCTGACCTTGGCTATGTAAGTACTTGTCTGTTAATTTAAAATATTGATTAGTTTACAAGGCAACGCATTTCTGTCCTAGCAATTCAGTAATAATTAGCAACTGCAGATTTTAATAAAGCCTATTAAGCTTTATAACACAAGGGAGTTTTGTCCACAATAAGAAGCTCGTACCATTATTACAAAACAAACCATTTCTTGAGCACTGACTGCTTCTCTCATGTCTTAAACAATTCTCTCCTGCAGTTCCCAAAAATGTAGTTTATTCTTTTTTATCTGTATATGCTTTCTGGGCTTGTAAATTGTTGAGGTGGTTGACTTTTTAAAAAAATAAATTACTGTTCCAGAATCAGTTTAGCATTTGAATTAGTCTTCTAGTACATGTCTTGATCCAGTTTTCATTGAAATTAATCTATTTGCAGCAAGTGGAAGATGTTACCAAGATTTCCTCTCTTCTATTCATGTTTTTCGAGTGTTTAATGTTCCGTCTATCAAGTTTTTTACCTTTTAAGTATAGAATCGTCAGTATTATTTTCAAGATGACAGGCTCACCTTCAGTCTGTGGTCTTGTAGTACATTTGACAGGACTTGAAACATAAATACCAAATCAAAAATTGAGCGTGATTTAATCTATTTTGCTGCCCTATTAGTGGTTTTCTTTACTGTTTGCTTTTAGAAATGGAGCAAGTACAGCTTAGGTTTCATTCATGCTGTAAGTCTGGTCTCTGGTTTCTGAAGCACTTAGGAAAACCATCACATAATTAGTAGTGTAAGTACATTTGGGTGAAAGCAAAATAGCATTTGGACATTCCAGGTGGCCCTTTAGAAAGCAATCATATTTGATATTCTTAACTAATGTTTGTGAAGTGTTTAACAGTGATCTTGCTAAGAGAGAAAAAGACAATCTACATGACAGAGTTTTAAGTTAAGCCGTAACAAGTTTAGCTCTGGGCTTTTTTTGGTAGCACAAACATTGTGCCTTGTAGCTGATGCTGTTTAGGACTATGCAGAAAACCTAAATTCCTTTTAAACTACCTTTCACACTATTTGCATGTATTTTAATTGGTTTTAAATGTGTAGAGTCCTTTTTCACCTAAAATACGAGTGTGCATCAAGGAATACTTTGGCAAGAGGGGGAGAATATGTTACTTAGACACCTTCTGGGCTGTTTAATCTGCACTGGAGATAATTCCCATGATTTTTTGAGTACCCAAACTGACTCTCTGCAATGGTAGAATCAGAGGAATTTAGGCTCAGTGGGATGTCTGGAGATTATCTGGTTCAGCCCCCAGCCCAAAACAGGGTCAACCAGAAAAGTTAGATCTAGCAGCTCCAGCTCATGTCCATGCTCCAGCATTTCAGATATCTGTAAGGACTGAAATTCTGTCGTTTCTGGGCCCTTCTTAAGGATTGACTTTTACTGTGAAAATTTTCCTGATGTTACAGTGGAATTTTCCTTGTCATAACATAATATTCGCTGCCCCTCATCCGTTTGCTGTGTATACTCAAGAAGAGTCCAGCTTTGTCTCTTCTGTGAGCTTCATTAGGTGGCCGAAGACAGCACTGTGATCCTGTCCTTTGGCATTCTCTGCTTGAGATTGAACAAACACGGCTTTTATCATTGTGATGACCTTCCACTAGGCATTATCCAGTATGATAGAGCTTTGTATTGATCCCCAAATTGGACAGTCATTGTCCAGAACCAAATAGAGGAGAGTATGAGAGGTACTCGTCTGATCTGAGAGGTGCACTCTTGCTAATACAGAGCAGAGTGCAGTTTGTCTTAATTGTTGCAGAAAAGATCTGCTGATGACTCATGATAAACTGGTTAGAAAGTATCAAAAAGGACCTCGGATCCTTTTCTGCAAATTTTATTTCTATTCAGTCAGCCTTTGCTGTGGTGTGAGTTTATTCTGTGTGCAGATGTAGGGTGTTGTTTTAATTGAAGTTCCTGAGATAGGTGTTGGTCTGCCTTTCCCACCTGTTGAGGTCCCTCTGAATCCAACATCCTACCACTGAGTATATTTTTCACTTTCCCCAGTTTGGCATTGTCCACCAATTTGATAACTTTGATATGGTGATTATCTCATTAAGTGTGGATTAGTCATTAATGAGGATATTAAGAATATTCACTTTAGTATCAGTCCTGAGAAACTTAAAGAGTGACCAAGTAGCACTTGGTCTTAATACTGATGATCTCAGCATTTAGAATCCCATAGTCCAGCCAGTTTTCCATCAACCCATTAATTTACCTATCCAAACCATGTCTCTTCAATTTGCTCAAAGGCAATGAGGGGCTGTGTCAGAAGCCCGACTAATGAATGATTTTACTTTATGAAAGTGAAGGAAATCTCCTGTTCTCCCCTTGCCACACAGCCAGTTATTTCTCAATAGAAGGCTATCATGTTGGTCAGCCACAAGCATCTTCAGGAAATCCAGTATGTTCCCAGTCACCTGTTCCCAGTCACCTTATCATTATGTGTCTGAATATGACTTCCA